TCGGTCAAAGAGAGATCAAAGGTATTAAAAAGGTGGAGCATATTTCCTCTTTAAAGCTGGAAAGAAACACTTGCAGATTCTTAGACAAGTTTAAAAAATGAAATAATCATGGGCCTTCACCTTAAGGCCTCATGCGCACTGCAGCTCAAAGAAGCTGCTTCACAGCTGTTTGAGCTTTTATTATTCTTTGCCTGTTAACTCCCCTCCCATGGTAGTCTATGTTTCCATGCACACTATAGGCATTTTCAGGAGTTTAGTGGTAGGGGAGTTTACAGGCAGAAAACAAAAACAACTTGTGCGGTCAGGAGAAGAGCTTTTGAGCATAAAAAAAAATGCTCAAATGTGGAAAAAAACACGCATTAACGTGCGTTAACACACATGCAAAAACACGTCTTTTTACTACATTTTTGATTCTGAAAACTCCTGTAGCTCAATAAACATTTTGAGCTTTTCAGTGTGCATGAGGCATAAGGCCTCTTGCACACTGCAGCTTGAAAAAGCTCAATGCAGCATTTTTTTTTACTCATCTAAAATGCAGCCCATTATTTACAACACTTTTGAATGGCCTTTTCCTGACAATCCTCTCCAGGCTGCGGTCATCCCTGCTGCTTGTGCACCTTTTTCTTCCACACTTTTCCCTTCCACATAACTTTCTATTAATGTGCTTTGATACAGCACTTTGGGAACATCCAACTTCTTTTGCAATTACCTTTTGAGGCTTTCCCTCCTTATGGAGGGTGTCAATGATGGTTTTCTGCACAACTGTCAGGTCAGCAGTCTTTCCCATGATTGTGATTCCTACTGAACCAGACTGAGAGACCATTTAAAGGCTCAAGAACCCTTTGTAGGTGTTATGGCTTAATTAGCTGATTAGAGTGGGACACTTTGAGCCTAGAATATTGCACCTTTTCACAATATTCTAATTTTCTGAGATTGTGGATTTGGGGTTTTCATGAGCTGTAAGCCATAATCATCACAATTCTGACAAATCACGGCTTGAACTATCTTGCTTTGCATGTAATGAGTCTCATATATTAGTTTCACCTTTTAAGTTGCATTACTGAAATAAATGAACTTTTGCATGATATTCTTATATTTCGAGTTTCACCTATATTTTGAATATTCAATAGATTTTGCTTGAGGAATGTATTGTACGCACATGCGCAAATATGTGTAACACAAATGCCTGAAATTACATCCAGAAATGCTGATGCTCAAACACCAGTAATGTGTAAAAGGCCTTAAAGACACTATGGGGAAACTCTATTAACCCCTTCCTGTTCATAGGACATACCCAAATGTTCTTGGATGGGGTGAACAGCCACTGGATTACTTTTACAGGCGGAAGGGGCCCTTCCCCCCTCCTTTACTGGACTCTACCGTGCAACTGGGGAGCCCGATAAGAATGAGACCGGCAGCATCCCAACTCTGGGCACACAGTGAAGAACGGATGTTGTTTCTCCCAATGTGTGATTACAGAAACCGGAAATGACAAAGATTTCGCCACTTCCATTTTCGGTCTTCTGTTTACCGCTCATCACCGGTTCGAAACGCTTCAGATCGAAACATTTTCAGGCTTGATCCAAAGCTTTCAAGGGCAGAGGAAACATCTGAGCTCTAATAGGCAGTGTAAAAATAAAATAAAAAATGTTTAAAGCGCCTCCCACCGTGCTCACGCACAATGGTGAATGGTCCAGCATGCATATGTAAATTGCGATCACACCTGTGAGGTATCGCCAAGAACATTAGATCAAGAGCAATAATTATTGCACCAGACCTTCTGTGTAACTATAAATTAGTAACCTGTAAAGACTTTTAAAGCATTGTTTATAGGCGAATTGGGTATTATATTGTGTTTTTGTGCACTAAAATTCATGAAAGTATATTTTTGGCAAAAAAAATGGTTTGAAAAACCGCTGCAAATACTGTGTGATATAAAAAAATAGCAAAACCAACAGTTTTATTCTCTAGGGCCTCTGCTTACACACACACACACACACACACACACACACACACACACACACACACACACACACACACACACACACACACACACACACACACACACACACACACACACACACACACACACACACAATATATGACTGGAAATGGGTAGAAACAACAAACATGGTAGACTGGTCAAACCCGTCTTTAAAAGATTATCACCGCCATCAGAGGCATTGGGAATCAAAATCAGGCCTCAGAAGAAAGAAGAGCATGCTTTGAGAAAAAGGCTGCCACCCCAGTATGATGTTGGGAAGTAGGCATCAAACATACCTGAGAAGTGCTGGAGACGGGCACAGAAGAATGAATAAGGCCCAGGACAGATATACCCATCTGATGGTGTCCCTGGGAGGTCAGTAACCACATGAAAAAAAAAGGAGGCAGGATAGCAAGGTCCCACCACCTAGGTAAAGTTCTGAAAATGAACCTGTCTGACTAAAAAAAAAACAGCATAATCAAGGTGCAGTACTGTAGGACACTGTGTAAACACTTTCATTTGAAGTGTTTCCTGTTTTGGTGGGAAAAGCCTTGCTTCTGCTGTCCTGGACGAATGGTGAAATTATGGTTTTAGAACTATAAGTTTCTGGGCATGGACCAAACAGGTAAGGAGAGCAACATAATAGTTCATTGTTCGTTTTATTATGAAAGCTTGTTCATTTAAAAAAAAGGGTATTAGAGTGAACCATTAACAATAGACATATTGTCCTGGTTACCATTGTCACTAGGGAAGAAAGTGATGGGAAATCCAAAATTTTACAGTAATTACCAATATAGAGGGTGAAAGGAAATCTTTTAAAAAAGACACCTGTTTTGATGACATCTGTTAAAACTGTAAATTTCCTCTGCCTTTGGAAGATTTTCTAACACGTTCTGATGTGTCTCCAAGACAGAAAATAAAAGGAAATACATTAAACGGAGTACATTAATACATTACAAGGATAAGATCATCTTTTGACAAAAAAAATAATAAATGCACATTTTTTTACCAGGTAAAAAAATGTGCATTTATTTTTTGTTGCAGGAGCCTGTAAAGCATTGTACCAGCGACCAGCAGATCACTGATGCCATGCAGGTCTCCTGCAGACCTGTCTGTGTACCTGTGTGCCCGTACATCTTGTGCAGGCAAGCAAATACGCTGACAGTAAGAATCAATTAACTACAACGGCACTCCAACAGCACCGTGGTAGTTCATTGAGAACTACAAGCCAACAGCCACTAAAACTGTAGGGACTTGTAGTTTATTCATTCACAGAACTCTGAATGAATGACGTGGCCATGTGCAACAACTGCTTTTGTTTGTGGTGCCCTTGCAGAACGAGTGCAGAAAAACGAAAGACTCTGCTCCACGGGGTGAACGAGGACTGAAAGTATCAAAAACACACACATAGGTGAACAATGTCATCGAGAAATACTGTATTCACAAATCTGTACACTTTTAGTTTAACGTTACTCCAACAACATACAGGAAACTATATTTGTATGTAACACACTAATACAGCAGGCAGAAAAAGCTCACCTGGTAATCAGATACCTTTAAATGTGTCTTTTTAGTCAGAAGACTGTTGATTACAATCAGAGGCAAATATCTGGAGCTGTGCAAACTGCTTAAAAGTCATATAGGGAAAAGTGATAGGAAATTTCATTTTTTCCTAATTTTCCCTTTTCCTCCCTGATAAAAAAACCTAGGGTAAAAAATATGCACCCAAATGTACTAATAAACATAACTTGTTTAGAAAAGTAATGTATAGTACCTATGGGTACACAATAAAAGCTAAATCTTAAAAAAAAAAAAAAAAAATGCAACTGGCATATCTAAACAATAGAGAAACTCTAGGATATAAAGTTGCCCTGCATTACATACAGTATGTGTGAATGATAAAACAAATGCATACACATACTTTCCCATTTTCATTCTTTAATTAGGACATGTGGCAATCAGGTTTTAAAACAGTGTGTATATCTCTATTCCACAACAGAAAGAGACAATAAGTTGTATTGTAGTTGCAGTTGTGAACCAATGGCGAACCTGAGACATGGCCAGTATATTCTATTTACAAACTCTTAACATAACAGGGTGTGGGGGACGCAAAAAGCAGTTTGGAGTACGGAGTCCCAGAATGTAAAGTGGCATTGTGGGGGTAGTCAAACCATCAGCCGTATGGGATTGGGGAGCACTTAAGTCCTGTATTTTACAGAATTTGAGTTGGAGGGGGGCAGTATACTCTTGTAGGTAGGCAAATAGACTAAGTTAATCCATGGGAATAAGCAGAGTCTGAATTTCTCCTCTCTGTTATTAAGAGAGGCAATAAGATCTTTCATATTCATGGTTTCATTAACTTTAGCAAATCAGAGAAAAAAGGTTGGAGTCGGAGGGATGCATGCTTTTACTGCATTTAACATGTAAATTGTTAAAACTGAACTCCAGATCTAGCTAACTTTGCATATGCAGATCCCTCTCCCTAAGCCATGTTAAACTGCTGATACAGCTTAAATCGTGTTGCCTTACTTTTCTTGTAATCCAACATTGTCAGTCCCAGTAATGTCTTCAGATCCATGAAAAAATATGGTGCCAGGAAGAAAATTCTCTCTTTCTGCAGTCATAAGAGTGCGGGGAAAAAAGGACTACATTACCCATGATGCAAAGGTAAATGCAGGATATGACAGGTAGCATATGCAGCAAACCTGAGGAGGTGAGGGAAGCAGAGTGTGGCATTGGCATACAGGGCTGTGTCTGCATATTGCAGTCACGGTCCTGACACCCACAGTGGGCGGCTCAGAGTCTCAGACTCCCAAGTTCTCCCTTCTGCTTGTTCATGATAAAAAAGTACAGCTTTCCTAAAATATTGAAACAAGTTAGGAATTCATTCAGGCACATTTGTGATGTTACTGAAAGGTCTGCTTTAAGGGAAATTAAACTGAGGTGTTACTTGAATAATTGGAAGGGAAATGGTTAAAAACAGTCCCAGATTGCTTGTATAAAACAAACAGTTTACCTTAAGTCATCATCGCTTCCAATCCGCTCGGGCCTCTTAAGCTTGGAATCCAGGTTGAAGTAAGTGCCACTGATCTCGCGCACACATATCCAGTGCTGCCTCTTAAGTGGGAGCTTTAAGGGTCCCCAGGACAGACTTGATGGGAGGTTCATAATGAACCCAGTGACATTAGAAAGAGAGATCAAGCAGACATCCCTGTTAAAAGAATACATTGATTATGACACCAATAGAAAAATAGTTTAAAGTAGAAACAGAAATTGCAGGACCCCAAAGATAAGTGTGATGAGCATCTCAATAGCTTTCATTAAACAAACAATGCTTTGGGGCATAACCAGCTGCATTCCCTATGGGACGCAACCCCTTGGATGCCAAGGACATAAAAGCTTTCATCAGAACAGAACTACTTCTAGTGGGCCAGTTCAGTAAATCTTATAGTATAACTAAATGCAAAACTTTAATTTTTTCTTTTGTTTTTGATAGAGTGGAGAAGGATGTAAACCAGTCAGGTTTTTTTTTATTACTGTCTTTGCCCCTGTTAGGGAAATTAACCTTTTCTATTTGTTCTGTTTACCATGAACGCCGAAAGTGAAAGTAAAAGAAAATCCCAAATTTTGAGTTGTCCCCAGAACAGGAATAATGGGAATTTCTTCCAAAGGGGATATCAATTCTAGTGACCTTAGTGACAACCACCAGGCACTCCCTCAATTTGGAACGATTTTCTCTCACTTTCAGTTTTAGCTATGGGACAGGAAGCAAAGGGAAATCTCCCCCATGGAACATAGATGACAAAAAACCCTTACAGGAGTTATAACCCTCCCTTACTCTATAAAAAACAAAACAAAAACACACACCATACATTTTGCCTTTAATTCTACTATGTCATCTGCATTTCTTCTGCTATAAGCGCATGGTCTCTTCTGCAACCATAAATGTATAACAGAGGGGTCCCCAGACACATGATAAACTGATCCTCTCCTGTGTACCCTCCCTTCCCTGCGGCTCTTTCCCCTATCTCTATGTACCCTACAATTCCCTCCTGGGCTATCCCTTGTGCTCTCCGTGCCCTTAAATCCAAGAGACTCTCCCTGTTACAGCACATTGCAGGGACTGGTTTTTTTTTGTAAGATTGCACGTATAAAACTCTATGAAACACGTGTGGCAGTATGTTGCAACATGTTGTGGGTTGTAACGAGCTGCGTTACAATAAAAATGTATGCCTGCATTATTTTATATCAATATATAACAACACAGTGTACACATGGATTTGGATTCAGCATTACCACAAAGCACGTGTTAAGCCAACTTCCAGTCTTATAGCACAAAATACTTATTTGTAAAAAAAAAAAAATAAACCAGCAACAAATGGTGTAATCATTGTCTTATGTCTAGGTACACGAGATGAGAAAATCAGACAATTAAAAAAAAAAAAAAGTTTTTGGAGCGATCATTCAATAATCAGATTGTTAATACAAAGCTTTCGAGAGCCGATCCTGACAGTTCACGTGAAATTATCTAAAGGGAAAAGCATGAAAATTTTTCTCGTAAGATAACAAAAAAAGTGATTTTCATTTAATCAGTACAGTATTCGTCCAGAAAAAAAAAAGAAAAAAAACACATCAAATGATTGAGACTGAGCACGCTCAGAAACGAAAGAATACATTACAATACATCATCACGGCAAGGTGTATTCTGTCTTATAAGAATTTCTGTAACTCTAGCAGCTTTGTTTTCGACATGAGATTAGCATGCAGAAAAAAAAAAAAAAAAAGGGACCATCATTTGTCTGATATTCTCATTGTGTGAACTAGGCTTTATTCTAGCCTGCTCTTCATAAATGGCAGCTGCACTTTGGCATGCTGAAGACTCATTTCTAAGGGCAAGCCTATTACTTTTTCTTACTCCAGCTTGTATCTGTACTGCTCTACGTCCATAAACAAAGAAATCTAATAGTTAATGTTTAATATAAACTTTTTTTTCTTCCAGACAAAACAAAATCCTGCAACCTTCTAGCTGGGCTGGACATGTCATACGTGGATGGAGGAGCAGGTATTCTTCTGGGACTGAGCAGCACTCATGTATTTAATGCAAGCACTACTTCGGCCTGGAATACTGTGAGACCAGCCTGCATGATGCCTTGCTCTTTGGGGGGTGTATAAATGACAGGCTGGACTCACAGGAAATGGGCAAAACATTGTGAGTATTGTTCTGCCAAAAGAGCACTGCTGGCACTGAACCAAGGAGGAAATCAGGGACAGCGCTGGAGTGAGGAGACAGCGAGTGGCGTTTTTTTTTCTTTTTTAGAGTAAGTGGAATATAATAATTAAAAAAATATTGGAGCCCTGCTTTTCCACCTGTCAGGTTTTACTGCTATCCAGGACTCTGTTACAGAGATATACCCCCTTGTCTGGTCTTGCTGACATCAGAAGAACCGAACAGGGATTCTAGCTTAGAAAAGCATTTATATTTCTGTCTCTCTTTTCGTGCCCGGTAAAACTTTATCTGGAAGAAAGGAAGTGGGGGTAAACGTCTCAGTGCCCTGGATAGCAATAAAAACCTGAAATAATTGGGCTTGACATACAACTTAATGTAATGTTACACTTACTTTAAAGTGAACCTGTTCTATTTACATCTCTTAGGGTTGGGTACACACTACCTGTGCAGACAGTGTTGATTGTGGCCAGTGGTGCTTTGTACTTTTAGGGCTCGTTCACACCAAGGTGCAGAAATATCAGTTTTTCTGCATGCGTTCTGCAAGGGCACAACTAAATCAATTGTTCTCTATGTGCCCTGTTCACACCACAATACTAGTATCATGAGCATATGTTTTCTACTCAGGAATTCACTCATTGAAGCATGCATGAAACTGATGTAAACTGATGTCTCTGCAAGTGAAATCTGCACATCAGTTTCCATCAGTTTTTCTATACGTATGGTGTGAATGAGCCCTTAAAAGTGCAGGGCACGGTTTATTTTTATTTTTTTTACAAAAAACGTCACAGTGTGACATTTCATTAGTTTTTATGCACCGCAGACAGAAACACAGCTACAGGTGAGCTGTGGTGCAAGATGGAAAAACGCAGGCATGTTGCAGATTTCCATATCGCCACTCACTCGAAGGCTACATTCTACTGTGTGAACAAGGCACATAGGAAACAATTGTTTCTGTGTGCCGTGGCAGAGATAATTTTTTTTTAGTTCAGTGTGAATGAACCCTTAAAGTGGTTGTAAAGGCTTGAGGTTTTTTTACCTTCATGCATTGTATGCATGAAGGTAAAAAAACTGCTGTGTGCAGCAGTGCCCCCAGCATCCTTAATACTTACCTGAGCCTCATCACTGATCCAGCGATGTGTATGACAGCCTCGGCTGTTCTGGGTCTCTGCCTCTTCATTGGCTGAGACAGCAAGCGGGAGCCATAACCGTTTAGTATTGCTTTAATCTACTGTACATCTCACTCATTTAGTTTCACTTTGTTACTGTGGTCTAACATTCCTTAGAGAGGAACTTCACTCCCTCAATCAATATGGACCATTTTTAATCCTTATGCTGCTACCATTAGTAAATATATAGGTAAATTATGTCATACATCCAAGGAGTCTTGAGGAGGGGAGGGAGGGTTCTCAGCTTAGCCAATGCCTGAGCCAAAGACAGATAGATGCCAGGAAGTAACTGTTACATGAATCATCTCTGCCCTTACTCAAGATTGCCACTGCCAGAAAAGCCAGGTGTTTTTTAAAATGATTTCTCAGCAATATAAAAGCATGGAGACATGGATGGATTGGAGTTTGTTTTTTGAATATTAAAAATGAATTATATAGCATTTTTGGTTTGTGGTACTCAAAATGCAGTGCAGTTCCACTTTAACCAAATGTTATGTTTTTTGACGGTCTCTGAAGACAGCATCACCTACATTATTAGATAGAATAGACACGCAGACACACATGCACACACTTCAAAATCTACCTCCTGGTTCAGCCATAACATCATTGAACAGATTGAGGCAGAGTAGTGGTGTCACTGTAATCTATGTTATTCGTTCATTGCAATGAAGAACGCAGCCAGGGGAGAGAGACACTGCTGCTCTGTCTAAATGATCTAAAGACTTGGGTACATTTGCACCTCAGAACTGCTCTTCCCCCCAATGGCAAAGTAAAAGCAGTTTAAATGGTCCGTCAACACAATTACCTCGATCAAAATAGTTCTCTTAACCTTTAGGTTCAGTATACATCATGGAGAGGTGACTGGGTACGTGCACTGTTCTGCAAGTTGCGTTTCGGGCAGCCTATTCATTTCACCAAGCTGTCCTATGTGCAAGAAGAACACTAAAAAGGTGCCTGCACTGTACTATGGTCCCATGCAGTTTTTGCATGCATGTTCACAACATGCATGGCAGTGTAATTATAAATTAATGGCCCTGCCGCATTTGCAAAGGGACAGCCTGCTTTTGTGCGTTGCAGGAAAGCATGCAGTTTTGCATGTATTCACACCAAAGACCTGTGTGAATGCAGCCTTAGTAATTAGAACTTGGATTACTAAGGGTTCCCGCCAGCACTCCTGCCTCCTCTCCTATGGTGAGTGCCCCCCATGAATGGGGGCACTCATGCGGGCTTGCTCCTGAGCCCCGTTGCCTAAGTCTATAGACAGACAGCGAGAGTCAGCCCCTCCCACCCCGTTCATTGGTTTTTACTGACAGCAGCAGTAGGAGCTATTGGCTACCTCAGCAAACAGTGTGAGACCAGAAAGTGAGGGGAGAAAAGAGCTACAGACTGGCACAGTGATGGATCAAATGAGGGCTCAGGTAAGTAAAAGGGGGGGAGCGGGGATACTGATGTCTAAACGTTTTATACTTTAAAGGCAAGGAACCACATTTACAATTAACAATAATACCTCATGTACCTCACGAACTACATAGCATAGACACTCTTACTTAAAAAAAAAAAAAAAAAAGAAATCTTTCTTCCATGCACAAATACTGTTGTGACATTTACAAATGTAATGACAATAAAGCAATAGTGGGATCATGGCACTCTGAGACCTTTACCTTCTCTTATCCCACCAGACAGCTTCATATCCCTTGGTCTGAAGTGCTGCCATAATTACGTTGACGTCATAGTTTCCATTGCCCAACATGTTTTTCTTGTGTGGGGTCACCAGCGTATTGGGGGACAATCTAAATTGGGTGATGAAAATGGTTATGGTTTATTTTACTAAAACATATGTAGAACCCACAGACAATGAAAAGCAAATTCTAAACTATTACATCGCACCAAACGTGGTTGGTTTCCTAATGTTTACATAATTCTCTATTGCAAATGGTAGCCATGATACACAAATAGCAATTAAAAGCAACCCTGTTACCAATATAAATATTAAAAAAAAAAACACGTTAGCTGGAGTAGACCACTGTATGTATAAACCTCTCCTGGTGCTGCTGAGTGCTGCTCAAGTACTAAGAAAATATCTTCCAAAGTTGCTAAGAACCTCACACTTCAAAGAAAGTCGATCTTGTGTCCAATGAAGCACTTTCTGGTTCTTTCTTCTAACCTCTACATCACTACAGGACACAGTAGTAAGGTAGAGGATGGTGGGAAGATAGTGCTGCACAGAACACAGGACATGGACACTTGTATCTCATTTTCCCAGCAAACTTCTGGGGATTATACTAAAGCAGGAGAGGGTTTGGTAGAGTGGGCAGAAGAGGTAAGCATTTACAGCCTTCTTTTCAGGCAACACATTCATTTTAAAAGGGGTCACGTTAATCCTTATATTCTATAAATACTTCCCAAAAAAACAACAAGCTTGTTCAATAAAGCAAAGAGCAATGAGCAAAGTACAAGTAACCAGGGCAACTAATAGGAAAAGATCCAAAATGGTATTTACCATAGCAATGCTTAGCTTGATTAACCCATGTCTCACCTCACAAATGTATAATTTTCAAAAATAATCAAAAACGCTTCTTTGTGACTCTTTTAAAATGAGCAACTCGAGAATCTGACTAGACAACTAGACAAGATCTAAGCTCTTTATCTGGCTATAAAGCCCTTTTAGGGCTAGGTCCCATGGGTGTCTGGAGTCAGAACTTACTAAATGCCACGTGCATTTATAAACTGTCGACAGTTACTTGTGATGGGTTCAGCAAGCACTTCACAGTCTTCTTTGGCGCATATCAGCAGCTTGCCTCCAAATTCACAGAAAAAAGCAACATTAGAACCTTCTCATATACTTCTGAATGGTTTGAGAAGCATTCGCACTGACATCTATTATGGGTATCAGAACACATCAGGTAAGTCTACCCACTGACTCCTATTATGGATGTCAGAACACATCAGATAAGCATACCCATATAAAATTGGGTGCAGCGCTAAAATAAATATAACCCCATATGTAGATAAATATAAATAAATATAAATGACAATGAGAAGATCTGTTAAAGTGACAAGGTGCTGGCAAAACATAAAGTGACTGAGTGGTAACATGAAACTTAGTCACTCTAACCATATATGTAACTATGCATATATAAGTAATTAGGTATTGGTAAGAAGATCTATAAAAGTGACCAGCGATAAGGTGCTAACAAACCTAATGGATAAGGTGACTCAGTGGTAACATAAAACTTTGTCACTATATAGTGACCAGTAGTGCAAACAATAATCAACAAATAGTCCAAATAAGTGCATGGAAGATCATGGAGATTTCTGATATCTGGTGGTCTATCCGGTAAGGTGGTGGTGATGTGGCCAAAAAGTATAAAGACTGCGCAATCACCAGATGCGCAATCAATGTGCGCATTTAGAGATAACACCCTCAGTGGTAAACTGGAGGCCCCTTTAAGGTAAGTAAGGTATGGTCTGATGTCCCTCACTGCTCAACTCCGCTGTCAGCAATGGCTCTGCCCCTCTTTTCATGCAGCTCTGTGGGTGGTTAGAAGCTCACAGCTCAATATAGGAGACCTGTTATGAGGGCAGCCAAGAGGGTGAGCGCTGGACCAAGCATGGCTAGTAATGATCGTACAGTGCCACCGATTACAGGAAGGTAACACCACAGATCTTCATCCTCAGGAGCTGTTGGGCAAACCCCCAACTGAAGACCTACACGAAACACGTCTTGGAGGAGCCTGCGAGCCTTGACGTCACGCCGCAGGATCACAGAGGTCCGGCGGCCCCCATTATTAACCAGCTGAGCTGCCCCTGGTGACCACCTAACCATATTGAAGAGGCTGCACCCGTGTCCTTAAAGGGGACCTCCGGTTGAATATTCCTAATGACATCCATCTATCCCGGGTCGATTCCATTCCTATCCTGAGAGGGACCCATTTGGCACACCTCCATTTTACTATACATTGCGCAAAACAATTGCACGTCCGGTGTGTGCCCATTTTATCCATACCTTGCCTCTCACCTATTTCCTTGAGGGAGTGATGAACTGAGATATTTGAAGTCACACAGAGCTCTTTATACTCATTATGAACGCTTATCACATGCATGTGTTTCATATTATATATTAAGGACTATTCATATGTTTAGCGCTGCACTTATTTTACTTTTATATGTCATTTGGAAGGTTTATGGTACCTTTTACTGTGCATAGCCGCTTAGTTATATCGAGCGCTCGCTGAGTTGTCTTTCCTTCTTTTTTGACATTTGCAAAAAACATAGCTATGCATTACAGACTACTCAGTAGATTAATATGCAATCCTCTCAGTTACTTACTTACTTTTCAAGATTCTTATTCCATCACCCTCCACTCTATTTTGAAAATGGCAAGCCATACAAAGTGCTGGATGCATGGCCCGAGCAAGTCAAAAACCAGCATTCGGCTTTATTTTCTACTCATGTATGCACGATCCACTCTCTCACTCTCTCAGAGCTCGGAGTTGTGAGAGCCAACTTCACATGCATGGTTAGTGTCGGGTTGGCTTTGTTCCCCACCTACGCTTGCAGTCTGCTCTTTCACTCTTGCGGGATGCTGAGCTGCAAGAGAGGGGACTGCACATGCATGAGTAGGGAATAAAGCTGCGTGCCCATTCATGAGTTGCTGGGTCCATGCATCCAATGTTCGGTACATCCTACAATCTGCAGGGCAATGGAAAAGGCATCTTGAAAAGTAAGCATTCATTTTACAAAATGGAAGACTGAATATTGTAGTACTGAGGATGCTGTAATGCATGGGTGCTCAACTTGTGACTCTCCAGCTGTTGCGGAACTACAAGTCCATACCATGCTGTTTTGGCAAAGACCATTAAAAAGTGAGCTAACCCCTAATTCTTCAGTGTTTTCAGAATATGCACACACAAAAATATAAAAGCTGGATTGAAAACAACAAACAAAACACAAGTAAGGAACTATCAAAATATAAATGTTTGCAGGTACAATTATACAATTGTGAATAAAAAAAAAGCAAAATATAACAAAGGCAAAATATTTTGCTTATTAAGATTAAAAGGATGACGTTAAGTTCATTCAATGTTATTTACCCGAGAGGAAAGCACATCGTTAGACAGAAATGGATTGTGATCGGACAAGAAGATCCACATTTTAAGATATATATCTCCACCAGATCCTTAAAAAAGAAAACCAAAGATGCCCAAAGATGATTATGAGCTTTGAATGGACACAGAAGGCTGGTTTGCACAACTAAAATAAAAGAAATCGCATGGTTTTTTTTTTAAAGTTCAGGTTATAAAATTAAAACGTGTTCAACTAAAATGAGCAACATCTCCACCTCTCCTTTTATGAACTCATTCTGTATGTAGATTAACAGCAATATTTAATCAGCTATAGATAATTTAAAACTACAGGCAATCCAGGTTCTGCAAACAGACCACAGTGAAAATTCCAAATTCTAGGCTGATTATTAGACTAGACCTCTTCTCACCTCTGGAATATCTCCTGAAGAGCTTCGCGAGTGAACGCTCCAGCATCCTGGAAGACATTATTCAAGGCATGGAGAGCACACAGTTCCCGTCGCTGTTTCTCGTGGTAAATTTGCGTTGGAAGAGGTTCTTGAAACTCACCACTGTGTTTTGCCTTATCTCCTTTCCACGGTACACAACTCATGGCTGAGAACCAAGGGTAGGATAGAACCGCAGTGATGCTATTAGTCTTTGAAATGTCCTCTAAAGTGGCTGCACACTGGCGGTCCTAGTAATCATGTACATTTATGTGACATGCCATGCTTCCTTGTAGTAACAACAGGAGTGTGTGTGTGCACGCTCTATCACAGTGACTAATAACCTGAGCCTTTCTTAGTGGTCCAGAATAAGGAGAGGGATGTTGATGTTTTATTCTTTTTTAATTAGATGATGGAAAGCTCTCCACATCTCTCTTTTTCCTCCATACCACCACAGTCTTGGAGCCAAAGAAATCACCGGAAATCTTATCAGTTACTTCTATTAGTATAATAAAGCAAGAAGGATTCCTCTATCCTGCAATAAACAAAAAATGAGAGATTAAACACAATGTCACCCACAGGGCTAGAAATGTAACAGTCTAAGTTTTTGGGCTTGTTCACACTGCCTACACACTAAATGGTCCATTCTAGCGCATGGGCAGTTGTTAATTAATGGACGCAGGGACGTTTTTCAACTTTATTTTCAGTGCACAAAGTGATGCTTTATTACGGTCTTAAAGCGATACTAAAGCCTTTTTTTTTTTTAATAAACAAACTTATCTGCTCTGTGCAGTCGTTTTGCACACAGCAGTCCCGATCCTCCTTTTCTCAGGTCCCCCTGACAGCAATTCTGGCTCCTCTCCCCTGAGAAATGCCCCCATAACAAGCCACTTGCTATGGGGGCACTGGTATGTGGTCATCCCCAAGCGCTGTTCTCTGCGTCCATAAGACACAGCAGAGCGGGACACGGCCCCGCCCCCGCCCCACACTCCGTCCTCACAGGCTGTGACTGAAAATAGCAGGAGCCAATGGCAAGGAGAGACACAGGAAAGCAGAGTCTCCTGTGCACATCATTGGACAGAGATCGAGCTCAGGTGAGTATTGGGGGGGGGGGGGGCTGGGGGGCGCTGCACACTGAAGGATTTTTAACAAAAACCTTAAGCATTTAGAAGCACTTTAACTCAGCAGCATGGTGCATTGCACTGCTGTGCAGTGACATGCAGTGCCATCCTGTGTAATGCATTAAATGATACATGGCTACATTTTACTACAGCTCCCAACATTGCACCTGCATTGCAATGTGAGCAGGGTACATAGAAAACAACTGTTTTCTATGTAACTGGATCCTATCCAGTGCAGAAAAATGCGTCAGCACAATGTCTGTGAATGAACCCCTAAAGTAAGGGTGTCCAACCTGCGGTCCAAGATGGCTACGAATGCATCCCAATACAAAATTGTAAACACTTAGAAATTTAGATTTTTTTTTTTTTTTGGAAGTCTTTGTAAAAATACGTTTACACTTAGCGAACACATGCGGTTGAAAGAAAAGTTTGACAGTGTCCCATATTCATGTCATCAGTTTCCAGCAGCACCTATATTTAAGAGAAATATTTTTCAAATATGAAATACATGAAGGACAAAATTAGAACCAAAATATCTGAGAAGCATCTTGAGAATTTGTTGAGAAGTGCTACTACATCCATTAAACCAGATATTGATGTGTTAGTTTATCAAAAACAGTGTCAAATATTTCACTAGTTTTCTGTTTCCCTCTTCAGTGATGTGCGATTCCTATCGCCTGACACCTGGGACATGCAGTTTTTCTTTCTACACTTAGCCCTGCTGTGGGCATGCAGCAGGGTTTGGAGCCAACTATCGGCTCTCTTGAAAAAGCAATCTAAGTGGCTAACTAGCAGTTGACTCGCTTTTACAAGCAGAGGGAGGGGATGTTCCCCCATCGCCTTCCGCGGGCTGTCCTGTCCCACCAGGACACCTGATCGACCTGACCGAAAGCACCGGCTGATCATAGAGGCGGACAAAGACCAGAACCACCCTGTCCGCCTTGTAAACAGCACCATATTTAAAGATGAAAAACATTTGATTACGCTGATCTTGGTCTTATTGACCCTATATCTCTCTATAAAGAGTACCTGTCACTGTCTATTGCTGTCATAAGGAATGTTTACATTGCTTGTGACAGCAATAAGGCCTCATGCACACAGGACATTTTTGTAGCCACTTTTAGGGGCGTCAGGTGTTTTTTTTTTTTATTTTTTTTACTGCTGACAAACAGCCCTCCATGTTATTCTATGTGTCCATGCACACAGACTTTTAGATGCTTTTAGTAGCAGTAGCTTTTACCAGCAGGAAAAAAAACAAAAACCCAGGGCTAGTGCGTCCAGGAGCAGCAGCGCTCTGGCAGAAAAACCGCTTGATACCTAAACGCATGTTAACGCTGGGCGCATTTAGCTTGAGTGTTAATTCATTTCAATGGCCAGCATAAATTATTATTCTGGCCAATGAAATTAATTAACGCCCAAGCACCTGTCGCTTGTAAAAGCACTTAAACGCTTGTAAAAGTGTTAGACACTTTGACAAGCATCAGGCGTTTTTTCTGCCAAAATGCTGCTGCCAAGAGGAGGAGCATTTTTAAAACGTCCTGTGTGCATGAGGCCTAAAAGTGATTACAAAGAAAAAAAAATTAAAGTGACAGTGTAAAAATTAAACAATTAAAAAAAAAAAAAAAAACAAGTAAATTTAAAACACCCGTCTCCCCGTGCAAACGGCGATCATCCCACACATGTGAGGTATCACCACAAACGTCAGATGATGGGCAGTAATTCTAGCATGAGATCTCCTGTGTAACCCCAAAAAGGTAACCTATAAAAGATTTTAAAGCATTGCCTATGGATAGTAAAATTTACCGTTAGGTCCATATATATTTGGACACATGCACAATTTTAGTTTTTTTTAGGTATTTACTAAAACCTATTCAAGCTATAGTTATATAATGGATATGGATGGAAAGTGCACACTCTCAGGTTTAATTTTAGGGTAGGTACATCCAAATTGGAGGAAGGGTTTAGAAATTACAGCTCTTAAGAGTAGCCGTCCCCCCTTTTTCAAGGGACCAAAAGTAATTGGAAAATTGAATCAAAAGCTGTTTCATGGCCAGGTGGGGGCTACTCCTTCGTTATTTCTTCATCAGTTAAGCAGGTAAAAGGTCTGGAGTTGATGCTAAGTGTTGTATTTGCATTTGGAATCTATTGCTATGAACCTACATCATGCATTCAAAGGAGCTGTCCATGCAAGTGAAAAAGACCATTGTAAGGCTTTAAAAATGAAACAAATTCATCACAGAGATAGCGGCAACATTAGGAATGGCCAAATCAACAGTCTGGTACGTTATCAGGAAAGAAGTACGCACTGGTGACATAAAAAGGCATAGACATCCAAGGAAGACATCAGTGGTGGATGATCACAGGATCCTCTCTATGGGAAAGAAAAACCCATTCACAACATCCAGACAAGTGAAGGACATTCTCCAGGAGGTGGGCATATCATTGTCAAAGTCTACAATCAAAAGAAAACTTCACAAGAGCAAATACAGAGGGTTCACCACAAGGTGCAAACCATTCAAAAGCCTGAAGAATACAAAAGCCAGATTAGACATTGCCAAAAAACATCTAAAAAAGGCAGACCAGTTCTGGAAAAGCACTCTTTGGATGGATGAAACTAAGATTAATCTGTACCAGAATGACGGGAAGAAAAAAAGTGCACAGAAGGCTTGGAACAGCTCATCATCCAAAGCACACAGCATCATCTGTAAAACATGGTGGAGGCAGTGTGATGGCATGGGCATGAATGGCTTCCAGTGGCACTGGGTCATTGGTGTTTATTGATGATGTGACAGAAGACAGAAGCAGCCGGTTGAATTCTACAGTGTTTAGAGATATATTGTCAGCCCAGACTCAGACAAATGCAGCAAAGTTGATTGGACGGCGCTTCACAGTACAGATGGACAATGATCCAAAACACACTGCAAAAGCAACCCAGGAGCTTTTGAAGGAAAATAAGTGGAATATTCTGCAATGGATGAGTCAATCACCTGATCTCAACCCAATTGAGCATGCATTTCACTTGCTGAAGGCAAAACTAAAGGCAGAAAGACCCACAAACAAAGAACAATTGAATACAGCTGCAGTTAGAGCCTGGCAAAACATCAGAAAAGAGGAAACTCAGTCTTTGGGTTCCAGACTCCAGGCAGTCATTGCCACTAAAGGAGTCTCAACAAAATATTAAAAATGAACATTTTATTATATTAATTTGTCCAATTACATTTGAGCCCCTGAAAATAGAGGGTCTGTGTATAAAAATGATTGCAGTTCCTAAAATTTGTACTTGATATTTATGTTCAACCCCTTGAATTAAAGCTGAGTGTCTGCACTTCAAATTAATTTGGATTGTTTCATTTTAATTTACTCTGGTGGCATACAGAGCCAAAAGTATGAAAATTGTGCCTGTGTCCAAATATATATGGACCTAACTGGACACGGGCATGCGCAATTTTAAAGTGTGACATGTTCGGTATCTATTTACTGGGCATAGCAACATCTTTTAACATTACCAAAAATCGGGTTATATACTGTTATTTTTTTTTTTTTTTGCTTTAAAATTCAAAAAATTGCAACACTCACCAACTTATTCTATAGGGCCTCTGTTTTACAAAATATATAGTGTTTGGAGGTTCTAAGAAATTGTTTAGCAAAAAAAAAAAAAAAAAAAACATTAAGGACTCATTCACAACATATATGCAAAAAACTGATGGAGACTGACATTCAGATTTAACTTGCAGAGACATCAGTTTACATCAGTTTCATGCATGCTACAATGAGAAGTATACACGTTGTAAGTTACTGGGCAGAAAAATATTTGCACATGATACTAGTGTTGTGGTGTGAACAGGGCACATAGAGAACAATTGATTTTGTTGTGCCCTTGCAGAACGTGTGCAGAAAACTGACGTCTCTGCACATGCGGCGAGTTAAGTCGCCATAAAGCCCCTTTAGTTATTAAAAGCCCCAGACATTTCTAAAAGCACCTCTGCCTAATAAAAATCATCAATCCTTCATATTTTCCATACTTGAAAAAATTGTTTTTTTTAAATAAATCAGGACAAATAGATTGGAACCCCAATTT